GGGGGGAATTTTGGTATTTTTGACTACAAACATTTGTGCCAGTGGTTCAAAAACAAAGAGGATTTAAGGCAGGGTATACACTTTTAAAATCCAATACAATTCACTTTATTTACACCACATTTCTAACAAATTGATTGGTCAGAATTCTAGAATTCTCTATAAGTGTCAATACATGGTTGCCACATTGTCAAGACAATTTTGAACGAATCAAGGAAAATGTGGCAACAATTTTGATGAAACAATTTAAAATAATTAACAATTATTGTGACTCATTGATTAATACCAATGAGGCATTAGAAGCAAGTAAAAGTAATAAGAGTGAGAAAAAAAATCAAAATATTATTAAAAGTGACAAGGATGCAAATATTTTTCTACTCCAATGGCTGAATTAAACTGAGTTTAATCAAAAATCAAAAAAATTGGAGAAATTGACATCTACTGTCAATAATTCTGGCCAATCAAAAACTAGTTTGACTCAAATTATGAGCGAATTTGATTGCCAATAAATTGATTAAAAATTATTATTTTTTTAGTTGTATTATTGCAAATTCTTATAAATTAAAAAATTGCAGATTTCTGTAAAAAGTTTGATTGTTGTTTGATAGATGGCGCCACAATGTTATTAATTTTTTTAAATTTTTGTTTTCAGGTACCTACTGTTGGTGGACTAGAAAAACTTATTGCGGGTGAGTTGTAGATGATATTTTGCTTAAAGTCAATTTTCCTGAAGTGATTTTCCACTGGAAAATTTTAAAATTTTCCTATAATGATTTCCTCACTTTCCTCTTTCTCCTGGAAAATTTTCAAAATTTTCCCTTCGCCAGTTTTCCAGGAAAAAATTGAAATGTGTGAATTTTTCGTAAATAAGTCAATTTTCCGGAATTTTTCCTGGAGTCATTTTCCACTGGAAAATTTTAAAATTTTCCTATAATGAACTCCACACTTTCCTCTTTTTCCTGGAAAAATTTCAAAATTTTCCCTTTGCCAGTTTTCCAGAAAAAAATTAAAATGTAAGAGGATGAATTTTGTTATGAAAATCAATTTTCCGGAATTTTTCCTGAAGTGATTTTCCATTGGAAAATTTTGAAATTTTCCTATAATATATTCCTCACTTTCCTTTTTTTCCTGGAAAATTTTCAAAATTTCCCCATTGCCAGTTTTTCAGGAAAATATTAAAATATCAAAGGGTGAATTTTCCATAATTTTGCTTATAAAAGTCAATTTTCTGGAATTTTTCCTGGAGTCATTTTCCACTGGAGAATTTTGAAATTTTTCTATAATGAACTCCACACTTTCCTCTTTTTCCTGGAAAAATTTCAAAATTTTCCCTTTGCCAGTTTTCCAGGAAAAAATTAAAATGCAAGAAGTGAATTTTGCTTAAATAAGTCAATTTTCCGGAATTTTTCCTGGAGTCATTTTCCACTGGAAAATTTTGAAATTTTTCTATAATGAACTCCACACTTTCCTCTTTTTCCTGGAAAAATTTCAAAATTTTCCCTTTGCCAGTTTTCCAGGAAAAAATTAAAATGCAAGAAGTGAATTTTGCTTAAATAAGTCAATTTTCCAGAATTTTTCCTGGAGTTACTTTTCATTGGAAATTTTTGAAATTTTCCTATAATGTGTTCCACACTTTCCTCTCTCTCCTGGAAAAATTTCAAAATTTTCCCTTTGCCAGTTTTCCAGAAAAAAATTAAAATGCAAGAGGTGAATTTTTCCTAAATAAGTCCACTTTCCAGCATTTTTCCTGGAGTCATTTTTCATTGGAAAATTTTGAAATTTTCCTATAGTGTACTTTACACTTTCCTCTCTTTCCTGAAAAAGTTTCGAAATTTACTCTTTGCGAGTTTTCCAGAAAAAAATTAAAATGCAAGAGGTGAATTTTTCTTAAATAAGTCCATTTTCCAGAATTTTTCCTGGAGTCATTTTCCATTGGAAAATTTTGAAATTTTCCAATAATGTTCTTTTCACTTTCCTCTTTTTCCTGGAAAATTTTCTCTCTGCTAGTTTTCCAGAAAAAAATTAAAGTGTAAGGGGTGAATTTTGTTTAAAAAGTCCATTTTCCAGAATTTTTCCTGGAGTCATTTTCCATTGGAAAATTTTGAAATTTTCCTATAATGAGCTCCACACTTTCCACTTTCTCCTGGAAAAATTTCAAAATTTTCTCTTTGCCAGTTTTTTAGAAAAAAATTAAAGTGTAAGAGGGTGAATTTTGCCTACAAAGTCAATTTTCCAGAATTTTTCCTGGTGTGATTTTCCATTGGAAAATTTTGAAATTTTCCAATAATAATCTTTTCACTTTCCTCTTTTTCCTGGAAAATTTTCAAAATTTTCCCTCTGCCAGTTTTCCAGAAAAAAATTAAAGTGTAAGAGGGTGAATTTTGCCTAAAAAGTCAATTTTCCAGAATTTTTCCTGGAGTGATTTTCCATTGGAAAATTTTGAAATTTTCCAATAATGTTCTTTTCACTTTCTTCTTTTTCCTGAAAAATTTTCAAATTTTTCCCTTTACAAATTTTTCAGAAAAAAATTGAAATGTAAGAGGATGAATTTTCTTTAATTTTGCTTTTTTTATAGGATTGGACTTGTCAAAAAATGACATTTAAAAAAAAAAAATCTATAGAATGAGACCTGTCAAAAAAAATGACATTTGAAAAAAAAAAAAAAAAAAAATTTTTATGTATTATTGAACCTGTCAAAAAAAAATGACCCTTGAAAAAAAAAAAAAAATTCTTTTAAGTATCATTGGACCTGTCAAAAAAAAATTACATTTGTAAAAAAAAAAAATTTTTATAGGTTTAGACCTGTCAAAAAAAAATAATATTTGACAAAAAAAAAATGTTTTTGATAGGATTGGACCTGTCAAAAAAAAATGACATTTAAAAAAAAAAAAAAAAATTGTTTTTCATATTATTGGACCTGTCAAAAAAATGACACTTGAAAAAAAAAAAATATTTTTTTATAGGATTGGACCTGTCAAAAAATGACATTTAAAAAAAAAAAAAAAAAATTATAGGATGAGACCTGTTAAAAAAAAATTACATTAATAAAAAAAATAAATTTTCATATTATGGGACCTGTCAAAAAAACAAAAAAAAAATTTTTTCTCAATTACCTGTCAAAAAAAGATGACACTTGAAAAAAAATTTTTTTTTTTTTTTATAGGATTGGACTTGTCAAAAAATGAGATCATTGGACCTGTCAAAAAAAATTACATTATAAAAAAAAAAATTTTTTTTCATGTGTCATCTTTTTTTGACGGGTCCAAAAAATTAAAATATAAGAGGATGAATTTTCCTTAATTTTGCTTGAAAAAATCAATTTTCCAGAATTTTTCCTGAAGTGATTTTCCACTGAAAAATTTTGAAATTTTCCTATAATGAGCTCTACACTTTCTTCTTTTTCGTGAAAAATTTTCAAAATTTTCTCTTTGCTAGTTTTCCAGAAAAAAATTAATTTACAAAAGGTTCCATTTAATTCAAAAAAACCTGGAAAAGCCCTGGAAAATCGGAAAATTAAGGGGAAAAAAGTTGGTTTTAAGACTTTTTGGGATCCCCTCTACAAAATGGCTATCTTGAAATTTCGAAATTTTGACTTCGATTTTTGGGCCTATACCTATAACACAGGAGACACTGGAAAATGACAAAAATCTCAACTTCAACCGGCCGTAGCTCCGTAACGGTAAGTCCTAGAGGAAAACCGTTCATGGCAACATTGTAGAGCTCGTCGAGATCTACAAAAAAACCTTAGTGAGTTTTCCCTCTAGGACTCACCATTTCCAAGATATTCCACTTGGAAATTTTAAAATCGATTAGTCTTCCTTTTTTTTTCGGCCAAAAAATCAAAGTCAAAATTTCCCGAATTTTCTTTGATGACGTCATAGAGGACATCTAAACAAATGTCGGAACCCACTTTTTGCCCCTTAATTTCCAGTTTTTCCAAGATTTTCCGGGCCTTTTCTATACCTCACAAAATGGAAAATCGAAATTTTTCGAATTTTGGAAAAATAAAAATTGCAGTGTATAGAGGAGGTGAAAACAAGCAGAAAAGCTATTTGGCATTTTCCTGTAGGATATTTCCTAAGCCTGGAAAAAAATAAAAAAGGAAATCTATAGGGGGGCTTTTCCAGCCTGACATGGTCTTATTAAATCTGCCATAACTCTGGAACGCCTGGACCGATTTTAATGAATCAAGTTTCATTCGAAAGAGAATTAAATTTGCTACAAAATGGCCTTATCCAGGATTTCCAGACTTATCCAGTTTCCTAGTTATAGGGCTGCAAAGTTGAAATTTTCTTAAAAATTAACCTTAGCTTTGTTTCAGGTGGTGTTACAACCTTCAGGACAACTCCTAGTGCCCTTTTGTCCATTTATTATTGTTAATTATGGAAGAAAATAAATAATTTTTCCGAAATTTTTCGTTTTATTTTTCCCCAAAGTCAATTTCAGATCGCTTTCGCCATTTTGTGAGGAAAATTTTACCTCTTTGCGTTCCTGTGTTCCTGATACAAAATCGGATTTTTAGGAAAATTCTAAGATTTTTGAAATTTTTAATTTTGTATCAGGAGAGCAGAAACGCGAAGAGGTATTTTTCATCTCTTTGCGTTCCTGTGTTCCTAATACAAAATCCAATTTTTCCCAAAATTTTATGAAAAGCTAATTTTGTATCAGGAACACAGGAACGCAAAGAGATGAAAAATACCTCTTCACGTTTCTGCTCTCCTGATACAAAATTAGAAATTTCAAAAATCCTGGAATTTTCCTAAAAATCCGATTTTGTATCAGGAACACAGAAAAGCGAAGAGATGAAAATCAAAAAAATATCAAATTTTCAAAAAATTTTGTTACAATCACAGATTTCTGTAAAAATTACAGATTCCTGTAAAAATGATAATTTTTATAAAAACAACTTCAGCTTCTGTCTAATAGATGGCGCTAGTAGTAAATATAATTTTCAATGAAAAAAGGCGAGATTTTCAAAGGTAGAAGTAATTGAAACAACAAAATCAACCAGATAATTAATTTATTAATAACTAAATACATATACAGACACAAATTAATAATTATTAAGACAAAAAATAGCGTTAAAGCACCACTTGAAAAACGAAAAAAGCCTCATTGAAACTTAAAAGTCTTCAGCTGCGACTCCTGCTTGGTCGTCCTGCTGGTGGTCGTCGTTTTCTTCTCGAAAATCTGCTCGCTGACGCTTTTTCTGAGCATCTTTTGCTCAAGCGTGTTCTGATCTCTGAGCACCGGAGCCTCGTCGATGTACTCGACGTTTTTCGTAAAGGACGATTGAAATTCCTCGTTGTTCTGAGGCTCGGAACGGAAATACTCGTACTTGTACGAAGGGTTTTTGACGAATTCCGAGCTGGCGGTTCCTTGTTGATTTTCCAAATGGCTTGCGTACTTGTTAGATCTGTCGTAGCTGTGAGTGAATCTGAAACAATTTTTTTTTGAATTAGTGGCGCCATCTATTGATTAGAAAGAGAAACAACATGCGAGTTAGACAAAGACACACCTTTTTTGAGACTCACCGTGTATCTTGTTCGGGTGCCGAGCTGACGTACCCGTCAGTTTCGTCGCCGGATGTTTCATAACCTAAAAATTGATGAAAATCAGGGAATTTTCTGGAATTTCGGTTTTTTTACCTTTTAATTTATATTTTGCTTGTCTGATGGCCACCAGTTTGTTGCGCGCCTCCTCCAGTTCGCGCTCGATTCGGCAAACTTCGGATTGCGCGTTGATTTCTTGCGCAATACCCCCCACCATTCTTCTATTGATTATCAAGTACCTAAAATAATAAGGAATATATAAGTGATGACGTCACTATCAAGGATATTATTATTATTTATTACAAGGGCGGTGGAACACTCAAGCTTTTTTCAAATTTTCAATACAAGTACTGATTATGACATCACGAAATCAGGTGCACAATTTAATTATTCCAGGTGTTTGGCCATCAAAGTACTGCTGATGACGTCACTAAGATTTTTAGAAATCAGCATACTACAAGGCTTGCTGTGGCCATTCTATTAACACAACCACAACCTCACTTTACAAGCTTTTCAAAAACTTATATAATGTAAGTACTGATAATGACGTCACGAAATAAAATAGAAAATGTGATTATTCCAAGCATTTGACTATCAAATATACAAAAAAAAAAAACAACGTACTGATGATGACGTCACTGAGAGACCTATTGGAAAATTTTTAGAAATCAGCCTACTACAAGTGAAGTGAAACTGTATTGATTGAATAATGCAAATAGAACAGAATTAAAACAATTGGAACACTTGAGCCTTTTTCGAATTTTCAATGTGAGTACTGCTGATGACGTCACGAAATCAGGTGCAAAATGTAATTATTCCAAGCATTTGGCCATCAAGGATACAAGAAACGTACTGATGATGACGTCACTAAAATTCTCACTAAGCCTCATTTCACTTCACAAGCTTCTCAAAAACTTATACAATGTAAGTACTTATGATGACGTCACTGAGAGACCTATTGGAAGATTTTTAGAAGTTGCTACAAAATTTTTTATGTTGCTACAAAGTGTTGCTATTAATGTAGCTACAAACGTCGCATATAGAAAAAAAATCGTGTTACTACAAATCTATGTTGCATCATACCAATTTTCAAAATACCGATTGTTGCTACAAGAAATTTTTGTCGCTACAACTTCCAAATTTCAAACTCAAGAGCCGGTAATAGAACAAAATGTCAAAATTACGCTTGTTGCTACAGAAAAAATCGTGTTGCTACACTTCAAAAACACGTGTTGCTACAAACTTCAAGAGCCGTTAATAAATAGGAAAAATTGAAAAAACTGGCAACAGCGCTTATAGAGCCAATGACATTTGCTCTTCTTTTTTTTTTAAAAAAATAGAATTCTATTTACCTTTTAGGCGCTTTCATTTGGACCTCATTTATTCTTCTTTTTTTTTTTTTGGAAAAATAGAATTCTATTTATTATTTAGACGCAGCCCTATAGGCAAATGTCATGAACACTTGTTTTTAATAAAGACAGTTTATTATTATTATTCTTTACGTCATCACTGGTACTTTGTCATGGTGGAGACGCCATATTGAATCACCAGAACGTCAGATTATATACCTGAGAATTTATCAGAAGGTGAATAAACCGACCCCAAGAAAATTAACAAACGAGATCTAAAAAAGGGTTGTTTTAGACGAGAAACGACACGCTGACTACGTCATCACTGGTACCTTAAGTTTGAGATTTGAACTAAATACCTTAGTTATGAGGATATCTGTGTAAGGTGTAATATGTTTCAAGATGGCAACGAATTATGACGTCACAATCAAGGATATTGTTATTATTATTTATTACCTTTCTTCTTCTACTTGTTTAGCCTGTTGCGCGGCCCTAACCAAATTGTCGGTAGACCGGATAACTGCATTACCGGCCGCGTGCAGCCTCCTCGTAGCCTCCGTGTCGCCTTCCGCTTTGACTTTGCACGCCACCAACAGGTGAGCAGTAGAACTAGCCACCTGTTTAGCGGCAGCAATGAGTTTATCCTCGCTGCCCAAACCTTGAACGAGGGCGTTGGCGCTTTCCACTAGACTGTGAGTGGCCGCGGCCACCAATCGGGCGGCCGAAATCAGGCCTTCGGACCACTGGCCGTCGTCCGACGACGAGTTCGGGTAGCGCGCCATTTTGCCGCTGTCAATTAGTTCGCGCTGGGCGGCGCTGGCTGCTTTTATTAGAGCGGAAGTGGCGGCGGTTATCGATTTTGCCGCCTCCAGGATCATTTCGTCGAAATTCATCGAGTCCAAGTTGGGGTCTTGAGCCTGAAATGTCAAATTTGTCAAAAATTGTCAAGAAACTTGATACAAAAAAAAAAAAGAAGATTTTTCTTGAAAAAAAACTTACCTTCATATTTGAGCCGTAGATGGAGCCACTAGACGCCTCTATAATAATATGTTTGACTCCTGGGTGCTTTTCAAAACGACAACCAAGAATATCAAACATATCTTATAGCGGAGGGCAATTGTTTCATGTACCTATCTATTATCTTAAAAATCTTATAATATCTTAGTTACCTTGACACTTCTAGGCCTCAAATTTGCCAACTTTTTGGCGGCGGCATCTATAGAAGCCGCCGCCCCCAGGAGCTCATTTTCGGCAATCACCGTAGGATCTTCGGGATCCACCCAATCGGAACCTTTGAGTCGTTTGGCCGCCCCCACCAAGTCGGTAACCGATTGGGCGATTTTTCGGGAAATTTGCGGCAAAAGCGACTTCAAATCGGCCTGCCCCTCCAGTACGGCCACAAGCAGTTGGCGGTACTCTTGTGCGCACGCGTGTCCCGCCGCCAGGGTCTCTTGCCGGAGCTCGGCTGTTTCCGCCAACGTGTAGGCGGCGCTTTTGCACGTTATCAGCATGTCCGAGATAGCTTTGCGTGATAAATTCGCCGCAGCTGAAATTTAAATGTTACCTACAATATTGTTATCTCGCTTGCAATATAATTATCTCTTTTCCACTTATTGTATAGTGAATTGAGTTCACTTTTCAGGGCGCTTAATAATTAATTAATGTATTATATTTCTTTTTTCAAATGCATATAAAAATAATCTCCAAAAATTTGCCGCTATTTTTCATTTACTCCGAATTTCATGGGTGAAAAAGTGAGATAGACAAAAACTAATGTCAAATTCGGAATCCTTGACCCCGAAAACCTCGAAAACGACATACTACTCGATTTTTTCCGAAATTCGCAACATGTTGCGAAAATGTTACGAATTTGCGACATTTCGGAAAAAGTCGAGTTGTATGTCGTTTTCGAGGTTTTCGGGCTCAAGGATTCCGAATTTGACATTAGTTTTTGTCTATTTCGATTTTTTTTTGTAAAATTTCAAGTTAGACAAAAAATAACATTAAATTCCGAATCCTCGACCTCGAAAACCTCGAAAACGACATACAACTCGACTTTTTCCGAAATGTCGCAAATTCGTAACATTTTCGCAACATGTTGCGAATTTCGGAAAAAATCGAGTAGTATGTCGTTTTCGAGGTTTTCGGGGTCAAAAATTCCGAATTTGAAATTACTTTTTGTCTATATCAATTTTTTACCCTTTTAAATTCGCGATAGACAAAAAATAATGGCAAATTCGGAATCCTTGACCTCAAAAACCTAGAAAACGACATACAACTCGATTTTTTCCGGAATTCGCAACATGTTGCGAAAATGTTCCGAATTTGCGACATTTCGGAAAAAATCGAGTTGTATGTCGTTTTCGAGGTTTTCGGGGTCAAGGATTCCGAATTTGACATTAGTTTTTGTCTATTTCGATTTTTTTTTGTAAAATTTCAAGTTAGACAAAAAATAACATCAAATTCCGAATCCTCGACCCCGAAAACCTCGAAAACGACATACAACTCGACTTTTTCCGAAATGTCGCAAATTCGTAACATTTTCGCAACATGTTGCGAATTTCGGAAAAAATCGAGTAGTATGTCGTTTTCGAGGTTTTCGGGGTCAAGGACTCCGAATTTGACATTAGTTTTTGTCTATTTCGATTTTTTTTTGTAAAATTTCAAGTTAGACAAAAAATAACATTAAATTCCGAATCCTCGACCTCGAAAACCTCGAAAACGACATACAACTCGCACTTTTCCGAAATTCGCAACATGTTGCGAATTTCGGAAAATTTGTAAAAATTCGAGTTAAACAAAAAATAACATCAAATTCCGAATCCTCGACCCCGAAAACTCCGAAAACGATATATAACTCGACTTTTTCCGAAATTCGCAATATGTTGCGAATTTCGAAAAAAAATCGAGTTGTATGTCGTTTTCGAGGTTTTCGGGGTCAAGAATTCCGAAATTGACATTAGTTTTTGTCTAACTTGAATTTTTACGAATTTTCCGAGAAATTCGCAATATGTTGCGAATTTCGGAAAAAATCGAGTTGTATGTCGTTTTCGAGGTTTTCGGGGTCAAGAATTCCGAAATTGACATTGGTTTTTGTCTAACTTGAATTTTTACAAATTTTCCGAGAAATTCGCAACATGTTGCGAATTTCGGAAAAAATCGAGTTGTATGTCGTTTTCGAGGTTTTCAGGGTCAAGGATTCCGAATTTGTCACTATTTTTCGTCTACCGTAAATTTCATGGGTGAAAAATTGAAATGGACAAAAACTAATATCAAATTCGAAATCCTTGACCTCGAAAACCTAGAAAACGACTCGAATTTTTCAGAAATCTTGCGAATTTCGCTATTATTACCATGTAACGTACGACGTTTTATTTGCAACTATATTGAATCCACTATACAAGGCACTTTTCAACATTCCACCACCAATTACTATCTTTATTTAAACGCATACAAAAGAAAGAGACACTATTTTATTTTCACTTACCGATAATATCGTCTTGTTTGTTACTTATACCGGCGGCCACCGATTTGGCGGTGGCGCTAGTAATGCCCTTAGTGCACCTAACCAAATCTTCGGCTTTGACGTTTTGTCTACAACCATCACTACTGTACAAAGTCTGCAAGAAAATATTTGACAGCTGTCAAAAAAAAAAAAAAAAAAAAAAAACAACTCACTCTCATCTCTTGGGCGATGGCCTCGACGGTCGACTCCAGCGCCCTCGTACCGCGCGTGTGCTCATCCTCAACCGCTTTGACAGTTTTCAGCAGTGACGTCACATTGGTCACCATTACCTGCAATAGAAACAAAACAATCAATTAATTAATTGAAAATGTTAATTATTTAACAACAATCATGCTTGTGTTAATTTGACAGGCAAAAAGGGGGGGAGGGAGAGAGACAAAAAAATGTTGTTAATTAAAATAATAAAAAAAAATAAATAAAAAAACAAACAAAACATCTAAAGCGTTTTTTTCGCGGGACAAATGACGTCATCACTGGTTCACCGCGAGAAAACAGCTCTAAAAAAAAACACAAATACGTACCGCAATTAATTGGATTTGATTAATTAATTAATTGAAATAACCACGGTTGCAAATAAAATGTTGTATTTAATTAATAATAATTTTGATTAAAAAAAAATAATAATTATGGTACGCCCATGCATTGCGCAATGTCGCTTTGTTGTCCTCCAATGTCGTTGACGTTTTCCTTGCTGTCGCTGAGCAAGCGCAGTAGCTCCTCCTCCTGGTCGGAAATCCACCAATCGGTGTCCGAGTCCGGCACCTGCTTTGGACCAATCAAAACTCGTTTTTAGTCCACACTCCACACCCCCCAAAAATTTGGTTAGTTGTTGCCAAGTCGTAGATAAAATCTTAAAATTTTATCTACGACTGCAAAAATGTGTGTTACAAGGACAAAAAAAAAATTATCTACAACTTTTTATATTACCTTTGCGCTGTCTTTTAAATGTGTCATTGTCGGGTCGTTGACAGGTTTGCCGCTAGCGGCCTTGGTGGCTTGAATCAAGTCGCCCAGTGCGCTGGCAACGTCGCGCACAGCATTGATGAGCATCACTTGCGAGTCGGGATTGTCCGAGCCCAAACTGGCAGCGCCAAACTTGACAACCTCGGCCAATTGAACTAAATGGAAACGTCAATAGAAGTGTCAGATGTCAATTGAAGTGTCAAAATGTCAATTAAAGTGTCAAATGTCAATAATTGAAGTGTCAAATGTCAATAAAACTTACCGATTGTGGCGACAGAGTTTTGAGCGGCGACCGCCAGTTGTTCTTGGGTGCTGGCAGCACCGGCAACCAAAGTTTTCGTATCTTCAACTAAAGCTTTTGCAGTCTTGAGGATATTTTCGCGGTGGTCTGCAAATGACTCGTTTTCCCGTTCGGAATTCAAATTTCCCGCCGTCGCGAACATTATGGTCGTTTCCAGGTCGCCGATGATGCCCGAAACTGTCGACGCGGCATTGATGCACGCCTGAGTACCTAAGGATTTTTTTTTTGTAGCGGCAACATTGCAATATTGTTATTTACCTCGAGAGCCGCTTTGCAACGTTGCCAGAACGGCGGCGACTTTTTCGTTGACGGTTCTAGAACATTCGCCCACCGTTCGCAGGCTGATGTCGTCCTGCGCAATGAGGCACTGGCCGCTTGCTTGGACCAAGTCGACGCAAGCGCCTCCTAGTTGTTGGACCACCTATAAAAATGATGTACCGATGATGACGTCATTGGAAGATTTTTACAAGTGAAAAGAGGATGTTTTAAATTAAATAGTGTAAATAAAACAGAATTAGAACACTCAATGTAAGTACTAATGATGACGTCGCGAAATCAGATGCAAAATGTGATTATTCCAGGCATTATGACGTCACTGGAAGTCCTATTAGAAAATGCACTTTGTACAAGGTAACTTGATGACGTCAATTAAAATGTTTTTGAGACTCAGTTATTTCTGAACCAAATTGTGATTATTCCAGGCGTTTGGCAACATTGCATGACCAACTATCGAGTGCCTGGAATCAATTAAAAATGCATTTTGCAAAATTATGACGTCACTAGAAGACCCATTAGAAAATGCACTTTGTACAAGGTTGTCTAGTAAAAGGTAACTTGATGACGTCAATTGAAATGTTTTTGAGACTCAGTAATTTCTGAACCAAATTGTGATTATTCCAGGCGTTTGGCAACATTGCATGACCAAACCATCGAGTGCCTGGAATCGATTAAAAATGCATTTTGCAAAATTATGACGTCACTGGAAGACCTATTAGAAAATGCACTTTGTATAGGTTTGTATAGTAAAAGGTAACTTGATGACGTCAATTGAAATGTTTTTGAGACTCAGTAATTTCTGAACCAAATTGTGATTATTCCAGGCGTTTGGCAACATTGCATGACCAAACCATCGAGTGCCTGGAATCGATTAAAAATGCATTTTGCAAAATTATGACGTCACTGGAAGACCTATTAGAAAATGCACTTTGTATAGGTTTGTATAGTAAAAGGTAACTTGATGACGTCAATTGAAATGTTTTTGAGACTCAGTAATTTCTGAACCAAATTGTGATTATTCCAGGCGTTTGGCAAATTTGCATGAGCAAACCATCGAGTGCCTGGAATCGATTAAAAATGCATTTTGCAAAATTATGACGTCACTGGAAGACCCATTAGAAAATGCACTTTGTACAAGGTTGTCTAGTAAAAGGTAACTTGATGACGTCAATTGAAATGTTTTTGAGACTCAGTAATTTCTGAACCAAATTGTGATTATTCCAGGCGTTTGGCAACATTGCATGACCAAACCATCGAGTGCCTGGAATCGATTAAAAATGCATTTTGCAAAATTATGACGTCACTGGAAGACCTATTAGAAAATGCACTTTGTATAGGTTTGTATAGTAAAAGGTAACTTGATGACGTCAATTGAAATGTTTTTGAGACTCAGTAATTTCTGAACCAAATTGTGATTATTCCAGGCGTTTGGCAACATTGCATGACCAAACCATCGAGTGCCTGGAATCGATTAAAAATGCATTTTGCAAAATTATGACGTCACTGGAAGACCTATTAGAAAATGCACTTTGTATAGGTTTGTATAGTAAAAGGTAACTTGATGACGTCAATTGAAATGTTTTTGAGACTCAGTAATTTCTGAACCAAATTGTGATTATTCCAGGCGTTTGGCAACATTGCATGACCAAACCATCGAGTGCCTGGAATCGATTAAAAATGCATTTTGCAAAATTATGACGTCACTGGAAGACCTATTAGAAAATGCACTTTGTATAGGTTTGTATAGTAAAAGGTAACTTGATGACGTCAATTGAAATGTTTTTGAGACTCAGTAATTTCTGAACCAAATTGTGATTATTCCAGGCGTTTGGCAACATTGCATGACCAAACCATCGAGTGCCTGGAATCGATTAAAAATGCATTTTGCAAAATTATGACGTCACTGGAAGACCTATTAGAAAATGCACTTTGTATAGGTTTGTATAGTAAAAGGTAACTTGATGACGTCAATTGAAATGTTTTTGAGACTCAGTAATTTCTGAACCAAATTGTGATTATTCCAGGCGTTTGGCAAATTTGCATGAGCAAACCATCGAGTGCCTGGAATCGATTAAAAATGCATTTTGCAAAATTATGACGTCACTGGAAGACCCATTAGAAAATGCACTTTGTACAAGGTTGTCTAGTAAAAGGTAACTTGATGACGTCAATTGAAATGTTTTTGAGACTCAGTAATTTCTGAACCAAATTGTGATTATTCCAGGCGTTTGGCAACATTGCATGACCAAACCATCGAGTGCCTGGAATCGATTAAAAATGCATTTTGCAAAATTATGACGTCACTGGAAGACCTATTAGAAAATGCACTTTGTATAGGTTTGTATAGTAAAAGGTAACTTGATGACGTCAATTGAAATGTTTTTGAGACTCAGTAATTTCTGAACCAAATTGTGATTATTCCAGGCGTTTGGCAACATTGCATGACCAAACCATCGAGTGCCTGGAATCGATTAAAAATGCATTTTGCAAAATTATGACGTCACTGGAAGACCCATTAGAAAATGCACTTTGTACAAGGTTGTCTAGTAAAAGGTAACTTGATGACGTCAATTCAAATGTTTTTGAGACTCAGTAATTACTGAACCAAATTGTGATTATTCCAGGCGTTTGGCAACACTGCATGAGCAACTATGATTAAAAGCCACCGAGTGCCTGGAATCGATTAAAAATGCATTTTGCAAAATTATGACGTCACTGGCAGACCCATTAGAAAATGCACTTTGTACAATTAAAACCATCGAATCGATTTTCGAGTGCCTAGAATCGATTGAAAATGCATTTTGCAAAATTATGACGTCACTGGCAGACCCATCAGAAAATGCACTTTGTACAATTAAAATCATCGAATCGATTCTCGAGTGCCTGGAATTAATTAAAAATGGATTTTGCAAAATTATGACGTCACTGGAAGACCCATTAGAAAACGCACTTGGTACAATTAAAACCATCGAGTCGATTTTCGAGTGCCTGGAATCGATAAAAAAATGCATTTTGCAAAATTATGACGTCACTGGAAGACCCATCAGAAAATGCACTTTGTACAATTAAAATCATCGAATCGATTTTCGAGTGCCTGAAATTAATTAAAAATGGATTTTGCAAAATTATGACGTCACTAGAAGACGCATTAGAAAATTCACTTTGTACAATTAAAATCATCGAGTCGATTTTCGAGTGCCTGGAATCGATTAATAATGCATTTTGCAAAACTATGACGTCACTGGAAGACCCATTAGAAAATTCACTTTGTACAATTAAAATCATCGAGTCGATTTTCGAGTGCCTGGAATCGATTAAAAATGCATTTTGCAAAATTATGACGTCACTAGCAGACCCATTAGAAAATGCACTTTGTACAAATTTGCCTAGTGAAAGGTAACTTGATGACGTTAATCGAGTGCCTGGAATCGATTAAAAATGTATTTTGCAAAATTATGACGTCACTGGCAGACCCATTAGAAAATGCACTTGGTACAATTAAAACCATCGAGTCGATTTTCGAGTGCCTGGAATCGATTAAAAATGCATTTTGCAAAATTATGACGTCACTAGCAGACCCATTAGGAAATGCACTTTGTACAAGGTTTTCTAGTGAAAGGTAACTTGATGACGTTAATCGAGTGCCTGGAATTGATTAAAAATACATTTTGCAAAATTATGACGTCACTGGCAGACCCATCAGAAAATGCACTTTGTACAATTAAAATCATCGAATCGATTTTCGAGTGCAGCCCTATATTTATACAAAAAACTTAAGTACTAATGATGACGTCACTGAGACATTACGCCATCTATGACCAACTAAAATCAACTACGCAAATTCTTACCTCTTTAAGCCTGGTCCCCACTTCGCCGTTAGTAGCGGCGGCCGCGGCTCCGACACAGTCACCCGCCAAGCGCGCATACGCATGCGCCAACCGCGCTCCCAATGCCGCCAACTGCCGACTATCGGCGGCGGCTTTGGCGGCAGTTTCCCCGCTCAACTTAGCGATTTCTTTAGCGCAAGCGACCATCCTTGTCTGATAATCGACGTAATCGTCGCTGTCAGAAACGACAAGTGACGCTCTGTGGTCTGACAGACGCGTCATTGCGCGCGTCAGATTGTCGACCACGCCCGAAACAATGCCGCTCTGAGTCGAGATTATTTCCAACGAGTGCAGGAGCTCTTGGATCGCTTCGCTGACGTATTTTGACGTTTCGTCAATGTCAGAGTGACAGGTTTTGGCTTGGGCGTTACCGCCGCAATCTTTTGTAGCGTAAATCAGTTGCAGGGCGCTCTCAGTGACGGATTTTGCTTGGTTCAAAAGCTGCTCTTGTTGCTTAGAGTTTGTCATATTTGACGCAGTACCGATGACGTTTTGAACTAGCGGCTCAAAATACTGAATCGCTTGGCTCAGAACGTGTCCGATATTTTCAGCTTCAAATTTTGCCGCTTGCCTCAGAGGCTCAATACAGTCCAATAATCCGGCAGCGGAGCGTTCGACTTGTTGACTGAAAATTGGCAACGTTGCCGTTTTCCTAGGCTGTAGCGATTGTGATACGGCATCCATGTAAGCGGCATCTAAAGTTTTCAAATGGTTGCTCAGAATCTGAGCGGCCTTTTCGCACTCGTTGCCTCCGGGCGCAGAAGTTCTGATACTGACAACCAAATGTTTCATGGCATCAGAAACGTCTTTGGAACATTTGGCGAATTGTTGCCAAGTCACCGGATCTTTTGGCATTAGAATGAGGTTTTTGGCGGCAATTATAACCGCGCAAGCGCTATCTATTAAACAATTGCCTGCGCTTACTATAGGCTTCTGAGCCTCTCTCGCCTCAGAAGATATTTTTGCAGGTATTGTAACAAACTCAGAAGAGCTGGCATAGACGCACAAGTCTTCTACAGCCTCCAATAAAGGCCTAGTGGCTTCTGAGCACCGTTTTCTATTTTCCTCACTATAATCATTGTCTAAGGCCTTAATTTCCTTGACCAAAGCCGAAGTTGAATTGGCAACCGCCTTGGCACTTTGCACGAATTGCCTTTTGGCAACCGGATTGGTCGTTTTAGAGCTGGCAACCCTGCAATAAACAACAATTGACAGTTTGAGCAAAAAAAAAGAAGAGTTATTATTTACCTGCAAGAATTGCAGAGGGCGCTGGTGTGTTTGGCAATTACGGTGGCCGCTTCTAAGACTTGTTTTTGGGGGCTTGCTGAAGTTGTCAGGGCCTCGCAGCCCCTTTTGATCGCTTGCGAAGCCCTGGCGAATTGTGCTTGGTCCACCAGTCCCGGTCTGCCCGCTATCGAGCTGCGGTCTGACACACCGACCTGGAAAAATAAATGTACCGTTGATCACATCATAATTGATTGATTATTCCAGGCATTCAACCACCTAGGATATGAACTAGATATTGAACTTTGTATCGGTATCGAAAATTTTCGATAGTTTGGATATAGATAATTCTGCTTCAGAATTTGATTCTCTATAAGATAGAAAAAATTTCATTCGATTATCTTGAGCGGTTCTTGAGATATTGAGCTTTGTATCGGTATCGAAAATTTTCGATACTTTTGAAATAGATAATTCTGATTCACAATTTGATTCTCTACAAGATAGCAAAAGTTTAATTCGATAATCTTGAACGGTTCTTGAGATATTCAAGTTTGTATCAATATCGAAAATTTTCGATAGTTTGGAAATCAATAATTTTGATTCAAAATTTGATTGTCTACAAGATGGAAAAAGTTTCATTTGATTATCTTGAACGGTTCTTGGGATATTCAAGTTTGTATCAATATCGAAAATTTTCAATAGTTTGGAAATCGATAATTCTGATTCAAAATTTGATTCTCTACAAAATGGAAAAAGTTTCATTCCATTATCTTGAGCGGTTCTTAAGATATTGAATTTTGTATCGGTATCGAAAATTTTCGATAGTTCGGAAATCAATAATTCTGATTCAGAATTTGATTCTCTACAAGATGGAAAAAGTTTCATTCGATAATCTTGAACGGTTCTTAAGTTATTTAAGTTTGTATCAATATCGAAAATTTTCGATAGTTCGGAAATCGATAATTCTGATTCAAAATTTGATTCTCTACAAGATGGAAAAAGTTTCATTCGATTATCTTAAGTGGTTCTTGAGATATCGAATTTTGTATCGGTATCGAAAATTTTCAATAATTCGAAAATCGATAATTCTGATTCAGAATTTGATTCTCTACAAGATGGAGAAAGTTTCATTCGATTATTTTGAGCGGTTCTTGAGATATTGATTTTTGTACCGGTATCGAATATTTTCGATAGTTTGGAAATCGATAATTATGATTCACAATTTGATTCTCTACAAGATAGAAAAAAATTTCATTCGATTATCTTGAGCGGTTCTTGAGATATTGAACTTTGTATCGGTATCGAAAATTTTCGATAATTTGGAAATCGATAGTTCTGATTCAGAATTTGATTCTCTACAAGATGGAAAAAGTTTCATTCGATAATCTTGAACGGTTCCTGAGATACGGAACTTTGTATCAGTATCGAAAATTTTCAATAGTTTGGAAATCGATAATTCTGATTCAAAATTTGATTCTCTACAAAATGGAAAAAGTTTCATTCCATTATCTTGAGCGGTTCTTAAGATATTGAATTTTGTATCGGTATCGAAAATTTTCGATAGTTCGGAAATCAATAATTCTGATTCAGAATTTGATTCTCTACAAGATGGAAAAAGTTTCATTCGATAATCTTGAACGGTTCTTAAGTTATTTAAGTTTGTATCAATATCGAAAATTTTCGATAGTTCGGAAATCGATAATTCTGATTCAAAATTTGATTCTCTACAAGATGGAAAAAGTTTCATTCAATTATCTTAAGTGGTTCTTGAGATATCGAATTTTGTATCGGTATCGAAAATTTTCAATAATTCGAAAATCGATAATTCTGATTCAGAATTTGATTCTCTACAAGATGGAGAAAGTTTCATTCGATTATTTTGAGCGGTTCTTGAGATATTGATTTTTGTACCGGTATCGAATATTTTCGATAGTTTGGAAACCGATAATTATGATTCACAATTTGATTCTCTACAAGATAGAAAAAAATTTCATTCGATTATCTTGAGCGGTTCTTGAGATATTGATTTTTGTACCGGTATCGAAAGTTTTCGATAGTTTGGAAATGGATAGTTCTAATTCAGAATTCAATTCTCTACAAGATGGAAAAAGTTTCATTCGATTATCTTGAGCGGTTCTTGAAATATTGAATTTTGTATCGGTATCGAAAATTTTCGATAGTTCGGAAATCAATAATTCTGATTCAGAATTTGATTCTCTACAAGATAGAAAAAGTTTCATTCAATAATCTTGAACGGTTCTTGAGATATTTAGGTTTGTATCAATATCGAAAATTTTCGATAGTTTGGAAATCGATAATTCTGATTCAAAATTTGATTCTCTACAAGATGAAAAAAGTTTTATTCGATTATCTTGAGCGGTTCTTGAGATATTGAATTTTGTATTGGTATCGAAAATTTTCGATAGTTCGTAAATCGATAATTCTGATTCAGAATTTGATTCTCTACAAGATGGAAAAGGTTTCATTCGATTATCTTGAGCGGTTCCTGAGATATTGAACTTTGTATCGGTATCGAAAATTTTCGATAATTTGGAAATCGATAATTCTGATTCAGAATTTGATTAAAAAAATCTCATTTGAAAATTTTTAACCCAAAAACTGACATCTGGCTCAGAATCTGAGCTGCAACTTTGAAGCTCGATATCTCGAGAACCGCTCAAAATATCTAAATGAAAGTTTTTCCATCTTAAAGAGTATCAAATAAATTTTGAATCAGATAAAATCGATTCCCGAACTATCGAAAATTTTCGATACTTCAAAAATTTGATTCTCTACAAGATAGAAAAAGTTTCATTCGATTATCTTGAGCGGTTCTTGAGATATTGAGTTTTGAAGTTGTAGCTCAGATTCTGAGCCCGGTATCGAAAATTTTCGATAGTTAAAAATTTGATTCTCTACAAGATAAAAAAAGTTTCATTCGAAAATTTTACACCAAAAATTAACATTTGGCTCAGAATCTGAGCTACAACTTTGAAGATCGATATCTCGAGAACCACTGAAGATAATTGAATGAAACTTTTTCTATCTTGTAGAAAATCAAAATCTGAATCAGATTAAATCGATTCCTGAACTATCGAAAATTTTCGATACCGATACAAAATTCAATATCTCAAGAACCGCTCAAAATAATCGAATGAAACTTTTTCCATCTTGTAGAGAATCAAATTCTGAATCAGAATTATCAATTTCTAAACTATCGAAAATTTTCGATACCGATACAAAGTTCAATATTTCAGGAACCGGTCAAGATAATCGAATGAAACTTTTTCTATCTTGTAGAAAATCAAAATCTGAATCAGATTAAATCGATTCCTGAACTATCGAAAATTTTCGATACCGGGCTCAGAACCCGAAAAAACTTTTCTGAGCAAAAATTTTCCTTTTCATTCGATCAAAATTATCTTACTTACCAAATAAGCAGTCTGAGCCGAAGATTCGACCAGCGAACAAATCGTGCCGCTGAAAAACTTGATGTGCTCAGAAAACCTTTCGTGCTCAGAAAGCCTCGCCGTATTTGTCATCCCAGTGAGCGACTCCCCAAGCGATTTGCTGCGTTCGATGACAGAATCCAGTGATTCGTAATAGGAAAAATCGCTTATGGGCTCAGAAGGCTTTTCCAGCAAATACCTCAAGGCCTGAATTTTCCTGACAGCGTTGTCACATTCAATTTGACCGGGCGCGGCAGACGTGCACACATTGACCAAATGATTGATACTGTCAGTGACAGCTCGGGCCGCTGTTGCCAGCTGGTTTTTTCCATTTGGCAACGTCGGATCGGCACTGAGCGATTTGGCTGTGGTCAACAAAGCGCTTGATGACGTCGACATTGTTTTCAAGGAGCTCAACATTTGGTGGCGGGTTTGAGTTTCATTTGTTTCGCCCGCCATTTCCATGGAGATTTGCAACAAATCGTGGAAGGCCAAGGAAAAGTCTTTGGAACTGGAAGCCAATTGGACGGGGTTTTGGACCGAGTGCACCACTCCGGCACTGGCTTGATCCAAATTCGCGGCCGCTGTTGCCAGCTCTTGCTGCAATTCCCCATAAGATTTGTTTGTGCTCGGGAATTCGCCACTGTCCAATGCAGAGCTCCATTCTGAAATGGCAAAAGTTTTCAATATAAGTACCGATGATGACGACACAAAATGTGATTATTCCAGGCATTTGGCAATTAAGGATATTAAAAAAAACGTACTGATGATGACGTCAGTGAGAGGAGTAAATTGACAGAGCGCCATAAGCGCAACTAGGCTACAAATCTGAGGTACTATGTAATTTTTTGAGTCAAAATGTAATTTTTGAGTCAAAATGTAATTTCTGAGTTACTATGTAATTTTTGAGTTAATATGTAATTTTTGGAGACAAAATGTAATTTCTGAGTCAAAACATAATTTCTGAGTTATTATGTAATTTTTGAGATAAAATGTAATTTCTGAGTGGAAATGTATTTTCTGAGTCCAAATGTATTTTCCAAGTCGTCAACAAGATTCATCAATTGAAAACCAAAATTATACCAGAAATTATTTCTGACTCAGAAGTACATAATTGCTCAGAAAATTCATTTCCATTCAGAAATTACACTTGGAATCAATAATTACATTTTGTCGATATCAAGTTTGACATTTGACATCAAATCTGTCAATTTTTTTTATTTTTTTAATTTTTGGAATTTTTCAAAATTACGTTTTTTAAAAGTTTAATATATGTAAAATATTTTTTTAAAATTTTCGCACCTGTCAAAAAAATTGACAGCTGTCATTTTGATTATGTTACCCTCGGAAAAAGTGACAAGGAGATGTCAGAAAAATTCGAAATAAAGTGCGTTCGATCCTACCAGTCGACTAGGTCGATATCAAGTTTGACATTTGACACCTGTCAAATTTTTTTATTTTTTTTAATTTTTGGAATTTTACAAAATTACGTTTTTTAAAAGTTTTAATATATGTAAAATATTTTTTTTAAATTTTCGCACCTGTCAAAAAAATTGACAGCTGTCATTTTGATTATGTTACCCTCGGAAAAAGTGACAAGGAGATGTCAGAAAAATTCGAGATAAAGTGCGTTCAATTCCTGTCAGTCGACTTAGTCGATATCAAGTTTGACATTTGACAACTGTCAATTTTTTTTATTTTTTTAAATTTTTCCAAATTACGTTTTTTAAAAATTTTAATATGTAAAATGTTTTTTTAAAATTTTTGCATCTGTCAAAAAAATTGACAGCTGTCATTTTGATTATGTTACCCTCGGAAAAAGTGACAAGGAGATGTCAGAAAAATTCGAGATAAAGTGCGTTCAATTCCTGTCAGTCGACTTAGTCGATATCAAGTTTGACATTTGACATAATCTGTCAAATTTTTTATTTTTTTTAATTTTTGAAATTTTTCAAAAATAAGTTTTTTAAAAATTTTAATATATGTAAAATATTTTTTAAAAGTTTTTGCACCTGTCAAAAAAATTGACAGCTGTCATTTTGATTATGTTATCCTCGGAAAAAGTGACAAGGAGATGTCAGAAAAATTCGATATAAAGGGCGTTCGATTCCTGCCAGTCGACTTAGTTGATATCAAGTTTGACATTTGACATCTGTCAATTTATTTATTTTTTTTTGAAATTTTTGGAATTTTTCAAAATTTCGTTTTTTAAAAGTTTTAATATATGTAAAATATTTTTTTTAAATTTTCGCACCTGTCAAAAAAATCGACAGCTGTCATTTTGATTATGTTACCCTCGGAAAAAGTAACAAGGAGATATCAGAAAAATTCCAGATAAAGTGCGTTCAATTCCTGTCAGTCGACTTAGTTGATATCAAGTTTGACATTTGACATAATCTGTCAATTTTTTTATTTTTTTTAATTTTTGGAATTTTTCAAAATTACGTTTTTTAAAAGTTTTAATACATGCAAAATATTTTTTTTTAATTTTCGCACCTGTCAAAAAAATTGACAGCTGTCATTTTGATTATGTTACCCTCGGAAAAAGTGACAAGGAGATGTCAGAAAAATTCCAGATAAAGTGCGTTCAATTCCTGTCAGTCGACCTAGTCGATATCAAGTTTGACATTTGACAACTGTCAATTTTTTTTATTTTTTTTAATTTTTCTAAATTACGTTTTTTAAAAATTTTAATATGTAAAATGTTTTTTTAAAATTTTTGCACCTGTCAAAAAAATTGACAGCTGTCATTTTGATTATGTTACCCTCGGAAAAAGTGACAAAGAGATGTCAGAAAAATTCGAAATAAAGTGCGTTCAATTGCTGTCAGTCGACTTAGTCGATATCAAGTTTGACATTTGACATCTGTCAAATTTTTTATTTTTTTTAATTTTTGAAATTTTTCAAAAATAAGTTTTTTAAAAATTTTAATATATGTAAAATATTTTTTAAAAGTTTTTGCACCTGTCAAAAAAATTGACAGCTGTCATTTTGATTATGTTATCCTCGGAAAAAGTGACAAGGAGATGTCAGAAAAATTCGATATAAAGGGCGTTCGATTCCTGCCAGTTGACTTAGTCGATATCAAGTTTGACATTTGACATCTGCCAAATTTTTTATTTTTTTTAATTTTTGGAATTTTTCAAAATTACGTTTTTTAAAAGTTTTAATATATGTAAAATATTTTTTTAAAATTTTCGCACCTGTCAAAAAAATTGACAGCTGTCATTTTGATTATGTTACCCTCGGAAAAAGTGACAAGGAGATGTCAGAAAAATTCGAGATAAAGTGCGTTCAATTCCTGTCAGTCGACTTAGTCGATATCAAGTTTGACATTTGACATAATCTGTCAATTTTTTTATTTTTTTTAATTTTTGGAATTTTTCAAAATTACGTTTTTTAAAAGTTTTAATACATGCAAAATATTTTTTTTTAATTTTCGCACCTGTCAAAAAAATTGACAGCTGTCATTTTGATTATGTTACCCTCGGAAAAAGTGACAAGGAGATGTCAGAAAAATTCCAGATAAAGTGCGTTCAATTCCTGTCAGTCGACCTAGTCGATATCAAGTTTGACATTTGACAACTGTCAATTTTTTTTATTTTTTTTAATTTTTCTAAATTACGTTTTTTAAAAATTTTAATATGTAAAATGTTTTTTTAAAATTTTTGCACCTGTCAAAAAAATTGACAGCTGTCATTTTGATTATGTTACCCTCGGAAAAAGTGACAAAGAGATGTCAGAAAAATTCGAAATAAAGTGCGTTCAATTGCTGTCAGTCGACTTAGTCGATATCAAGTTTGACATTTGACATCTGTCAAATTTTTTATTTTTTTTAATTTTTGAAATTTTTCAAAAATAAGTTTTTTAAAAATTTTAATATATGTAAAATATTTTTTAAAAGTTTTTGCACCTGTCAAAAAAATTGACAGCTGTCATTTTGATTATGTTATCCTCGGAAAAAGTGACAAGGAGATGTCAGAAAAATTCGATATAAAGGGCGTTCGATTCCTGCCAGTTGACTTAGTCGATATCAAGTTTGACATTTGACATCTGCCAAATTTTTTATTTTTTTTAATTTTTGGAATTTTTCAAAATTACGTTTTTTAAAAGTTTTAATATATGTAAAATATTTTTTTAAAATTTTCGCACCTGTCAAAAAAATTGACAGCTGTCATTTTGATTATGTTACCCTCGGAAAAAGTGACAAGGAGATGTCAGAAAAATTCCAGATAAAGTGCGTTCAATTCCTGTCAGTCGACTTAGTCGATATCAAGTTTGACATTTGACATCTGTCAATTTTTTTTAATTTTTGGAATTTTTCAAAATTACGTTTTTTAAAAGTTTTAATGTATGTAAAATATTTTTTTAAAATTTTTGCACCTGTCAAAAAAATTGACAGCTGTCATTTTGACCATGTAACCCTCGAAAAAAGTGACAAGGAGATGTCAGAAAAATTCGATATAAAGTGCGTTCGATTCCTGCCAGTCGACTTAGTCGATATCAAGTTTGACATTTGACATCTGTCAATTTTTTTTAATTTTTGGAATTTTTTAAAATTACGTTTTTTAAAAGTTTTAATATATGTAAAACATTTTTTTAAAATTTTTGCACCTGTCAAAAAAATTGACAGCTGTCATTTTGACCATGTAACCCTCGAAAAAAGTGACAAGGAGATGTCAGAAAAATTCGATATAAAGTGCGTTCGATTCCTGCCAGTCGACTTAGTCGATATCAAGTTTGACATTTGACATCTGTCAAATTTTTTATTTTTTTAAATTTTTGGAATTTTTCAAAATTACGTTTTTTAAAAGTTTTAATACATGCAAAATATTTTTTTAAAATTTTTGCACCTGTCAAAAAAATTGACAGCTGTCATTTTGACCATGTAACCTTCGAAAAAAGTGACAAGGAGATGTCAGAAAAATTCGATATAAAGTGCGTTCGATTCCTGCCAGTCGACTTAGTCGATATCAAGTTTGACATTTGACATCTGTCAAATTTTTTATTTTTTTTAATTTTTGGAATTTTTCTAAATTACATTTTTTAAAAGTTTTAATATATGTAAAATATTTTTTTTTAATTTTCGCAGCTGTCAAATAAATTGACAGCTGTCATTTTAATTATGTTACCTTCGGAAAAAGTGACAAGGAGATGTCAGAAAAATTCGATATAAAGTGCGTTCGATTCCTGCCAGTCGACTTAGTCGATATCAAGTTTGACATTTGACATCTGTCAATTTTTTTTAATTTTTGGAATTTTTCAAAATTACGTTTTTTAAAAGTTTTAATATATGTAAAACATTTTTTTAAAATTTTTGCACCTGTCAAAAAAATTGACAGCTGTCATTTTGACCATGTAACCCTCGAAAAAAGTGACAAGGAGATGTCAGAAAAATTCGATATAAAGTGCGTTCGATTCCTGCCAGTCGACTTAGTCGATATCAAGTTTGACATTTGACATCTGTCAAATTTTTTATTTTTTTTAATTTTTGGAATTTTTCAAAATTACGTTTTTTAAAAGTTTTAATATATGTAAAATATTTTATTGAAATTTTTTGCACCTGTCAAAAAAATTGACAGCTGTCATTTTGACCATGTAACCCTCGAAAAAAGTGACAAGGAGATGTCAGAAAAATTCGATATAAAGTGCGTTCGATTCCTGCCAGTCGACTTAGTCGATATCAAGTTTGACATTTGACATCTGTCAATTTATTTATTTTTTTAAATTTTTGGAATTTTTCAAAATTACGTTTTTTAAAAGTTTTAATACATGCAAAATATTTTTTTAAAATTTTTGCACCTGTCAAAAAAATTGACAGCTGTCATTTTGACCATGTAACCTTCGAAAAAAGTGACAAGGAGATGTCAGAAAAATTCGAGATAAAGTGCGTTCGATTCCTGCCAGTCGACTTAGTCGATATCAAGTTTGACATTTGACATCTGTCAAATTTTTTATTTTTTTTAATTTTTGGAATTTTTCAAAATTACGTTTTTTAAAAGTTTTAATACATGCAAAATATTTTTTTAAAATTTTTGCACCTGTCAAAAAAATTGACAGCTGTCATTTTGACCATGTAACCCTCGAAAAAAGTGACAAGGAGATGTCAGAAAAATTCGATATAAAGTGCGTTCGATTCCTGCCAGTCGACTTAGTCGATATCAAGTTTGACATTTGACATCTGTCAATTTTTTTTAATTTTTGGAATTTTTTAAAATTACGTTTTTTAAAAGTTTTAATATATGTAAAACATTTTTTTAAAATTTTTGCACCTGTCAAAAAAATTGACAGCTGTCATTTTGACCATGTAACCCTCGAAAAAAGTGACAAGGAGATGTCAGAAAAATTCGATATAAAGTGCGTTCGATTCCTGCCAGTCGACTTAGTCGATATCAAGTTTGACATTTGACATCTGTCAAATTTTTTATTTTTTTAAATTTTTGGAATTTTTCAAAATTACGTTTTTTAAAAGTTTTAATACATGCAAAATATTTTTTTAAAATTTTTGCACCTGTCAAAAAAATTGACAGCTGTCATTTTGACCATGTAACCTTCGAAAAAAGTGACAAGGAGATGTCAGAAAAATTCGATATAAAGTGCGTTCGATTCCTGCCAGTCGACTTAGTCGATATCAAGTTTGACATTTGACATCTGTCAAATTTTTTATTTTTTTAATTTTTGGAATTTTTCTAAATTACATTTTTTAAAAGTTTTAATATATGTAAAATATTTTTTTTTAATTTTCGCATCTGTCAAATAAATTGACAGCTGTCATTTTAATTATGTTACCTTCGGAAAAAGTGACAAGGAGATGTCAGAAAAATTCGATATAAAGTGCGTTCGATTCCTGCCAGTCGACTTAGTCGATATCAAGTTTGACATTTGACATCTGTCAATTTTTTTTAATTTTTGGAATTTTTCAAAATTACGTTTTTTAAAAGTTTTAATATATGTAAAACATTTTTTTAAAATTTTTGCACCTGTCAAAAAAATTGACAGCTGTCATTTTGACCATGTAACCCTCGAAAAAAGTGACAAGGAGATGTCAGAAAAATTCGATATAAAGTGCGTTCGATTCCTGCCAGTCGACTTAGTCGATATCAAGTTTGACATTTGACATCTGTCAAATTTTTTATTTTTTTTAATTTTTGGAATTTTTCAAAATTACGTTTTTTAAAAGTTTTAATATATGTAAAATATTTTATTAAAATTTTTTGCACCTGTCAAAAAAATTGACAGCTGTCATTTTGGTTTTTTTACCCTCGGCAAAAGTGACAAGGAGATGTCAGAAAAATTCGAGATAAAGTGCGTTCGATTCCTGCTAGTGGACTTAGTCGGTATCAAGTTGACATTTGACATCTGTCAAATTTTTGGAATTCTTAAAAATTTCGTTTTTTAAAAGTCCTCCGCCAGAATTTTGATTGTTTAACAGCAAATTGATTTTTTTTTTTTGAATTGTATAACGCACGTCAACTGTCAATTTCAACTGTCAAAAGTCACACTTATACAAATAATGCATTGTTGCCAATAATTACATCGATTCTTCTCAAATCTCAATGGAAATGGACCATTGAAAAAACAGTGTTGCAACGCCGCATTTCGACTATACGGATGACCTTTAATCGAAATTTTCTGAGTCTAGATGTATTTTCTGAGTGAGAATGTATTTTCCAAGTCGACAATAAGATTCATCAATTATTGTGAAACAAAATTATACCAGAAATTATTTCTGACTCAGAAATACATATGACGTCAGTGAGAGATGTAAATTGACAGAGCGCCATCTATAATCAACAAAACTTACCAATAATATTTGTAATGGCCGCATCGACATCTTTTTGTCCAGGCAAACACCCGATAGTCTTTTGCAAAGAAACGCTGACATTTTTAGCGGCCTTTTGCAAAATCGGACTCAGATCCACCGAGTGCAAACTCCTATAAGACTCCTCTAGGAGTTTCTGAGCATGCGCCAGCACTTCTTGGCCGCTATAAATGATTTTGCGCTGAAGCTCAGGATTATCGCTTGTCGCTGCAATGCAACGTAAAGCTCCGGTGAAATTTCTGAGACTGTGCGCAGTGTCGCGGGCCGCCTGAGCATTGTACAGCTCGTTGCCTTGCGCAGTAGCGCTCAGAAGCTGAGCCACGCCCTGATTGACGAGTTTCGAGCTGGCGATTAGTTGTAAGACGCCCTTTTCGCTCGAGTCTCCCGGTAGGGGGCGCAAGCGGTGCGCGTCCACGGCCTTTTCGAATTCTTGAAGTTCTTCTTGAAGGGCCTCAATTAGTTGGGAGGGGCCTTCTAGGCCTAAACCTGAAAAAATTCCATCAATATTTTAATAACGTCCTATCTTGTCTCTATCCTTGTCTTACTTACTTAAAATAGCATTTGTGATAGAATACTACTTTATATTTGTCTTTGTCTTGCTCAGTATAATCATTAAACACACAAGGATGCAGTTAAGTAGGCCTTGGAATGTCATTTATTTGACAGTCATAGAAATTATCTAATTGAATAATTATTCCAGGCATTTGGCCACCTAGGATACAAGACAAATACTGATGGTGACGTCATTGAATTTATTTAATTCCAGGCATCAACCGCCTAGGATATAAGACAAGTACTGATAATGACGTCACTAATTTTTTTAGAAATCAGTTCACTAGGTGAAGTGAAGCTGTGGCCATTGAATTAAGCCACAGACTCACTTCATAAGCCTTTTAAAAACCTATATCTGAGTTTTCAATGTAAGTACTAGTGATGACGTCACGAAATTAGATGGAAGATGTAATTATTCTAGGCATTTGGCCGCCTAGGATACAAGACACGATGATGACGTCACTAGAAGACCCATTACTTATGGCCGTTTCCACCAACCATGAGCCAACTTCACTCAAGTTTCAAACAAGTAGGCCTTGTAATATCATTTATAGTGACATTTGACAGTCCATTTAATACGGAACGCCATCTATTAACACTAGAGACAACTAAAAGTGAACTCACCTTGACAAGCGGGCTTCGCCCTGCAGATGGCGCTGCGCAACTCGCTCAAATCCGAGCTCAACTGATAACTGGTAAATGACAGCTGCTCCGTCATCGTTTGATCTGTCAAAGTAGGCAACACAGTCCTTGACGTTTGCACGAAATGAGTGGCAGGATGTAGAAACACCTCAGCGACATACATGAGCTCGCTCTGAGCATTTGCATCGTCCGGCACTGAGCCGTTAGCCTTAATGGACTCGACCAAAGCCGGAATCTGATCCGACATTTCGCGAGTGTCTTGACTCAGAGCCTCGCGAGTCGCGGGATTCGAATTGAACTCGTGACTCGCCTGAGCGGCGGTTATGCACTGAGTCGCCGACGAAATCGCTTTCTGAGCACAAACCTGCACTCGGTCCACTAATTTTGCTCTCAGAGCCGGAGTAGTAGCGGCAACCATTGTGACGTCTCTGAGATTTTCGGCGGTTCGTCTCAGAAGATCTTGACAGGTCGTGTCACTAGGACACTCGGTGCAGCGGCGCGCCGCTTCGACCATTTTGGCAGTGGCGTCCGCTAAAGTTTTGGCAGCTGCCAATAGGCGGCGTTGGATTTCGGTGTCGCGCGGTAGTTTTTCGGCTTCGCCTTTAATACTTTGGATAAGTTGGGCTGTGGCGTTGCCAAGTCGGCGCGCTTGTCTGACCATTTCATTGGCGTCCCCCGAGGCCGCTTGGATTTTATCAGTTGCTATTGTGATTTCTTCAACGCTTTGTTCTTGTATTGATTCTTTGACCCGACGAGTCGACGCTGACTTTATGTGATTCAAAAGATCATTTAAAGAGCTAAAAATTTAGGTAGTAGATAAAATTTTATATTATATATATATATATAATTTACCGTGTAACTTCAGCTGCGGCCTGTTTCAATTGATCATTCAATTCGTCATTTGGTCTTGCCTCGTTACAGATTCCTACTAAATTTTCGACAGCTTTGGCAACCTCGCGCACCGCTCCAGTTAGTTGTTCTTGACAGGCGGGCGACTGAATTGTTGGCGCGACTACTTTGGCGCAGGCGACAAGTTGCGACGTTGCCAGAGCGCACTGAGTCGCAGCTCCTATGACTCGGTTTTGAGTCTGCTGATCTTCGCAAGTCGATGCGATGTTTTTCGCTTTGAGCACCAGAGCGGCTGTGGTGTTCGCTACGATTTTCGCTAGCGACATTAAAAGGTCTTGAAGTTCTTTGTTTTCCGCCGTGTCTTCGCCGATTGTGGCTAGGACTTGAGTGCTGGCCTCGCCCACTCTCGAAGCGGCGCTCAGAAGACTTTGCCTGGGCTAGAATTGAGTGAAAATAGTGATTATTCCAGGCGTTTGGCAACATTGCATGATTTTGAAACATTGAGTCCATTTTCAAGCGATTAAAAATGTATATGACGTCACTAGCAGACCCATAATCAGAAGATGCACTTTATACAAGGTTGTCTAGTAAAAGGTAACTTGATGACGTCAATTGAAAAGTGATTGAGACTCAGTAATTTCTGAACCAATTTGTGATTATTCCAGGCGTTTGGCAACATTGCATGATTTAGAACCATTGAGTCAATTTTCAATCGATTAAAAATGTATATGACGTCACTAGCAGACCCATAATTAGAAAATGCACTTTATACAAGGTTGTCTAGTAAAAGGTAACTTGATGACGTCAATTGAAAAATTTTTGAGACTCAGTAATTTTTGGACCAAATTGTGATTATTCTAGGCGTTTGGCAACATTGCATGATTTAGAACCATTGAGTCAATCTTCAGGCGCCTAGAATCGATTAAAAATGTATATGACGTCACTAGCAGACCCATAATCAGAAGATGCACTTTATACAAGGTTGTCTAGTAAAAGGTAACTTGATGACGTCAATTGAAAAATTTTTGAGACTCAGTAATTTTTGGACCAAATTGTGATTATTCTAGGCGTTTGGCAACATTGCATGATTTAGAACCATTGAGTCAATCTTCAGGCGCCTAGAATCGATTAAAAATGTATATGACGTCACTAGCAGACCCATAATCAGAAGATGCATTTTATACAAGGTTATCTAGTAAAAGGTAACTTGATGACGTCAATTGAAATTTTTTTGAGACTCAGTAATTTCTGAACCAAATTGTGATTTTTCCAGGCGTTTGGCAACATTGCATGACCAAACTATCGAGTGCCTGGAATCGATTAAAATTGCATTTTGCAAAATTATGACGTCACCGGAAGACCCATTAGAAAATGCACTTTGTACAAGGTTGTTTAGTAAAAGGTAACTTGATGACGTCAATTGAAATGTTTTTGAGACTCAGTAATTTCTGAACCAAATTGTGATTTTTCCAGGCGTTTGGCAACATTGCATGACCAAACTATCGAGTGCCTGGAATCGATTAAAATTGCATTTTGCAAAATTATGACGTCACCGGAAGACCCATTAGAAAATGCACTTTGTACAAGGTTGTCTAGTAAAAGGTAACTTGATGACGTCAATTGAAATGTTTTTGAAACTCAGTAATTTCTGAACCAAATTGTGATTATTCCAGGCGTTTGGCAACATTGCATTACCAAACCATCGAGTGCCTGGAATCGATTAAAAATGCATTTTGCAAAATTATGACGTCACTGGAAGACCCATTAGAAAATGCACTTTGTACAATTAAAACCATCGAGTCGATTTTCGAGTGCCTGAAAACGATTAAAAATGCATTTTGCAAAATTATGACGTCACTGGAAGACCCATTAGAAAATGCACATTGTACAAGGTTGTCTAGTAAAAGGTAACTTGATGACGTTAATCGAGTGCCTGGAATCGATTAAAAATGTATTTTGCAAAATTATGACGTCACTGGCAGACCCATTAAAAAATGCACTTTGAACAAGATTGTCTAGTAAAAGGTAACTTTCGAGTGCCTGGAATGGATTTAAAATGCATTTTGCAAAATTATGACGTCACTGGCAGACCCATCAAAAAATGCACTGTGTACAAAGTTGTCTGGTAAAAGGTAACTTTCGAGTGCCTGGAATCGATTTAAAATGCATTTTGCAAAATTATGACGTCACTGGCAGACCCATTAGAAAATGCACTTTGTACAAAGGTAACTTAACGTCAATTGTTTCAGAGTATGATGTTAATGACGTCACAGGCAACTTACCTCTCTCTCTCAAACGCCATCTATTGGGTACATTTACACCACTCACCTCTTTGCTTTCCGGCTCGGCGGCTCTGAGCAAATCGCTGAAAGCTTTACACAAATGCCTTGTAGCATCTAAAAGTTTGTCTCCCATATTTTGATCCTCGGTAAAAGCGATAATTTTTTTGACTTCTTTAGTCATTTCAGGCAAGTTGCTGCCTATAGTTGTAATGGCCGCACCTACCGCGTGATGATCCACTTCGTCTTGTGTCAATGTCAACGTCACAACCTATACAACAATATATAACTCAGAAATAATATTGTACGGCTCAGAAATAGTGTTTACTTGTGCAGTGGCCGCGTTCATGGCGGCAATTTTGCTGCCGACATTTTGTTTGCTCGTATCCAAAGTGACTTGCTTCCATTTTTTTGCTGCCGCATCCGTTCCGATTTCCGGATAATGAGCCCTGGTTTCCAGCTCGATCTCAGACTCTTTGATTTTGGTATGAGCTGCTTCTATTGTGGAAATCAATGCACGCTGAGGTTCGGACATTAACTGGTGGATTTTGGTTTCTCTATACGACTAAAAAATCATCAATGGGTAAATGAAATAATTTTTTTTTTTTTTTTTAAATACCTACACTGGTAGCGCCCTCTGTTGCATGTAAAAGAAAACCTTTTGACATTAAAAATGCAACTTGAATGCGCACAAAAAAAAACAAAAGAAATACTCACTCACTGTGACAGGAGAAGTGTGAGTCAAAAAAGCCTTATAAATTACTTACCGTTATAGGAGGAGTGTGGGTCAAATTAGCTTGACCACTGACAGTTGACATTTTGGGACTTTCCATGGCGCCCATATGAATTTGCTTTTGGCCTAATAATAAATATGTACAAAACAATAAAAGGAAAAAAAAACCAAAAGGGATTGACCAGTCGGTAACTTTGACGCATTTTACGTCATTGGTCAACAAATGACGTTTGTGTAACCGACCGGTCAAACGCTTGAAATCCTCTATAGGCAACCAACCTGAATCTCCTCCGCGTAAAATGGCCGGTTTGGCAACCGAGTGTACGTCCAACTTTCCAATGGTACTACTTTCATGTTGAATAATGGAGGCTCTACAAAAGTAGTACTTTTAATAAAAATGAGTACCATTTTAGTAAAACATCTTACTTATGTGGTGCTACACTTTCTTCAAACATCGTAGAGCCTTCATCTCCGTCAATACCAAAATGGTCTTTTGCTTGTTTCTTTTTCAAAATAATATCAATATAACCGGCAATGATTTGCTGAATTTGCTCAGCTTCAGTGGTTTGTACCGAGTAGTACTGATCCGAATAATCGCCAAAGTCTAGTGTAAATGTATTAGGTGAGGCACCCCATCTGAAATCATTTGGCTCAGAATTATTTGAAAATTTCTGATCCAAAAAACAAGTACCTTCGGACAGTTGTCAGCAACCAAGTTTGTATAATGTCTTTGGTTTTTTCATCGAGCCTCAATACTGAGTCTTTTGTAACACCCAAAAGGCGCGGTACCAACTTATTTTTCCCTTTCATTTTCTCTTTGACAAGGAAAAATGTCACTCCATAAGTCGGTAAAGAGCGAGCGGTTTTCGTGTACTTGACTTTAGCTTCGAGTTCGTTGAGGCCGAGGCATTTTTTGTGTTCCTGGAAAACCTTCTTTTCGATAGCCTTGATTTTCGTGTACGATTGCGGCAAGAATTCTTTCAGGCTGAAATAAACGGTGTAAACCTGGTCAATTGTATTGGGGTGATACACTGATACACAGCGCCATCTATAGGCAATTAAGTTTATTATTGAATTTGTATTGGTTAGCTTTGAGAGCGTTTACATCGAAATTTTCAAGGCTTTTTTTGGTGGTTCAAAATACGGTTTAAACCAATTTGTAGATGACGTCATCACGGGTGAACGCAAGGAAATGGAAAGTTTGAACACAGTCTTATGTCAACGGAGAACAAGCTAAGATGTGACGTCACTGGTTCAACGCAAGAATGTACGGCAATTTATTTATTTTGTGGTGAATGTTAACATTATTAACAAACGTCAATTCGAACGTCCAAAAATTTTTTAGTGGTGAATATTAACAAACGCTTCAAAATTTCAAAATATCTTTATTTTCCGCCGTCTCTGGGCTACAATTGAGTGAAAATAGTGATTATTCCAGGCGTTTGGCAACGTTGCATGATTTAGAACCATTGAGTCAATTTTCAATCAATTAAAAATGTATATGACGTCACTAGAGGACCCATTAGAAAATGCACTTTGTACGAGGTTGTCTGGTAAAATGTAACTTGATGACGTTAATTGAAATGTTTTTGAAACTCAGTAATTTCTGAACCAAATTGTGATTATTCCAGGCGTTTGGCAACATTGCATGACCAACTATCGAGTGCCTAAAATCGATTAAAAATGTATTTCGCAAAATTATGACGTCACTGGAAGACCCATTGAAAAATGCACTTTGTACAAGGTTGTCTAGTAAAAGGTAACTTGATCAAGTCAATTGAAATGTTTTTGAGACTCAGTAATTTTTGAACCAAATTGTGATTATTCCAGGCGTTTGGCAACATTGCATGACCAACTATCGAGTGCCTAAAATCGATTAAAAATGCATTTTGCAAAATTATGACGTCACTGGAAGACCCATTGGAAAATGCACTTTGTACAAGGTTGTCTAGTAAAAGGTAACTTGATGACGTCAATTGAAATGTTTTTGAGACTCAGTAATTTTTGAACCAAATTGTGATTATTCCAGGCGTTTGGCAACAATGTATGACCAACTATCGAGTGCCTGAAATCCATTAAAAATGAATTTTGCAAAATTATGATGTCACTGGAAGACCCATTAGAAAATGCACTTTGTACAAGGTTGTTCAGTAAAAGGTAACTTGATGACGTCAATTGAAATGTTTTTGAGACTCAGTAATTTCTGAACCAAACTGTGATTATTCCAGGCGTTTGGCAACATTGCATGACCAACTATCGAGTGCCTGGAATCGATTAAAAATGGATTTTGCAAAATTATGACGTCACTGGAAGACCCATTAGAAAATGCACTTTGTACGAGGTTGTCTGGTAAAAAGTAACTTGATGACGTTAATTGAAATGTTTTTGAAACTCAGTAATTTCTGAACCAAATTGTGATAATTCCAGGCGTTTGGCAACATTGCATGACCAACTATCGAGTGCCTAAAATCGATTAAAAATGCATTTCGCAAAATTATGACGTCACTGGAAGACCCATTGGAAAATGCACTTTGTACAAGGTTGTCTAGTAAAAGGTAACTTGATGACGTCAATTGAAATGTTTTTGAGACTCAGTAATTTTTGAACCAAATTGTGATTATTCCAGGCGTTTGGCAACAATGTATGACCAACTATCGAGTGCCTGAAATCCATTAAAAATGAATTTTGCAAAATTATGACGTCACTGGAAGACCCATTAGAAAATGCACTTTGTACAAGGTTGTTCAGTAAAAGGTAACTTGATGACGTCAATTGAAATGTTTTTGAGACTCAGTAATTTCTGAACCAAACTGTGATTATTCCAGACGTTTGGCAACATTGCATGACCAACTATCGAGTGCCTGGAATCGATTAAAAATGGATTTTGCAAAATTATGACGTCACTGGAAGACCCATTAGAAAATGCACTTTGTACGAGGTTGTCTGGTAAAAAGTAACTTGATGACGTTAATTGAAATGTTTTTGAAACTCAGTAATTTCTGAACCAAATTGTGATAATTCCAGGCGTTTGGCAACATTGCATGACCAACTATCGAGTGCCTAAAATCGATTAAAAATGCATTTCGCAAAATTATGACGTCACTGGAAGACCCATTGGAAAATGCACTTTGTACAAGGTTGTTAAGTAAAAGGTAACTTGATGACGTCAATTGAAATGTTTTTGAGACTCAGTAATTTTTGAACCAAATTGTGATTATTCCAGGCGTTTGGCAACAATGTATGACCAACTATCGAGTGCCTGAAATCCATTAAAAATGAATTTTGCAAAATTATGACGTCACTGGAAGACCCATTAGAAAATGCACTTTGTACAAGGTTGTTCAGTAAAAGGTAACTTGATGACGTCAATTGAAATGTTTTTGAGACTCAGTAATTTCTGAACCAAACTGTGATTATTCCAGGCGTTTGGCAACATTGCATGACCAACTATCGAGTGCCTGGAATCGATTAAAAATGGATTTTGCAAAATTATGACGTCACTAGAAGACCCATTAGAAAATGCAAACAGAAATTAAGGCAATTGGAACACACACATCAAAAAGAGTCAGTGCACTTGGAACACTCAGAGTAGAATTACTAAAAACGCAAACCTAAATTCTGTATTCAGCCTATTACAGAGGAGCTTTATTTGAAATTGCGTAAACGTAAATGACGTCATTAGCGTGTACGCAAAGAAGCATCAATTTCAAATAAAGCCCCCCTGTATCAATTATCCTTGTTTCGGTATTTTGCTCAAAGAGCAGAGCGTGCCAGAAATTTTAATAAACGAACGCAAATGAGACTGTACCGAGTACACTTTTGAAATAAACGAACGGTAAAGTCTCAGACCAAAATAACAAACACACGGTAAATAGTGTATATAGAACAGAATTAGAACAATTAGAGTAATTCAGAGTGCAAGTTACTTACTCTAAAAATCCAGGTTTGTGTTTGCTCTCCAAATAATCCCCGAACTGGATCTGGCACTGGATTCCGGCAAACTCGCACGCCTTTTCCTGCGTTATCGGGTGCGTTCCGTTCAAAATGGCGTCGCGCGCTTGCACGTAGAGCAAATTCAGCTGCACCGGGTCCCTAGAGTCGATATTTTGATCCGAAAAGAAGAACTTCCTGCGCAGCAACACGGTGTCGTTTTCGGCAATGCCTTGCTCTCTCAGTGTTTTTGACGGATCCAGCCAGTTGACCTAAAAAAAATAAACAAAATAATGACGTCACTAATGTATCCAGCCAGTTGACTTTAAAAAAAATAACCAAATAATGATGTCACTAATGTGACATTAATTACCTCGTCGTCGGTGTGCAATTTTCTTTTCAACTGTTCCATTTTGACGTCACGGTCGCGTTCCTCTTTGCGCCGTTTCAAGGTCAAAGTACCATAGTTGTTGAGGTTCTCTTGGTTTTCGTAGTCTTCGAGTACCAGCGAGTACTCGTCATGGTTGGTGATGCCAAGTTTCGTACAGATAACAACCATCATGTTGGCGACGATTTGCGAGTCGTCGACCAGCATCGTTTTCACGGAACCGTCGAGCATTTTTACGCGCAAGGTGCGCAACTTTTTGCGGTACTCAATTGTGTCGCCGTTTTTCAATATGTAGTACTCGAGGTTTCTCGCTTGCTCCAGCCAAACGCCCGTAGTGTTGTCTTCGTCGGTGAGGAAAAGGCCGTAGTCTTTGGCTGAAAAAAAAAAGCTGACGTCACAAACATGTGTTATTGTGTGTGACGTGATTCTTACGTTGTCCTTGCGCTTCGGTGCATTTTTCCCTGATGATTCGGCAGGCGTCGTGTACAGTCGTAGAAGGGTTGAAAACGATTGTTTTTGTGACGTTGCTGTCGACAATGTTGATACGTAATGACAGCGACATGATTTTTCACTGCAAATAATCAAATTGTAAATTTAACTACCTTCTTAGGGCTGATTTACATATATATTGCTTTATTTACATTCTAATCTTTATTATAGGGGGGTTGGCAACCCTTATGGAGTCGATAAAATGTTTAATTTCGTCATCATTTTTCTGTTAACAGGCATTTGGAAAGCGGAAATAACGTGCTGCTTACGTCACAGCTTGGCGTGAGGAGGATTTGTTACACACAAGCTATCCTGTAGTAGTAGTGTGTATCATCCTTAAAAGAAAACAAGGCCTACTTTGACATATCAATTTTTTGACGTTTGTTGTGTCATAAGTAGTGTGGCCAAAGTTATACGAGCCCGAAGGGCCGGAGTTATTTTAATCACGAACCTGAAAAGTCGGGACCCAGTTTATAGTTTCACTAATTTAATGGTACCAACTATTCAAGGACAATACACACCTACAGGATTGTCGCCATATTAATGTGTCACCATTTCTTACGTCATAACTAAGTCGTCAGCTGTTCAAACAGCCTATAATAAGCAAGGTTGTTTGAGAGAGGTAGGTTGCCTAATAACTTTATAAAGTTATTTGGGGTGTTTCAACATAAGGTAAATTTCTTTAAGGCACGCCAAATGCGTCATTAAGTTACCCATTACTAGATAACCTATTAACATCAAGCGACAAATAATATGCTGCCTACGTCACAACTGGTGATTTGCTGGGAGGAGGAGGGGATTCATTACACATAATGCCATCCTATAGTAGTAGTGTGTATTATCCTTGGTCCCAAGCAATCTTGGGTCTCAAGGTTGTTAGAAAAAGGTTGCCTGATAATTTGTATAATGTCATATGGATGCTTTAAACATAATACAAATTTCCATTAAATCTTCCCGATGATGTCATCTGTTTACCATTACCAGACTACCTATTAACTTGAGGGAGTCCCCTCTTTCAATTCGAAACTTCGCTTTTCCCAAGGATAATACACATAACTATTATAGGATGGCCTATCCTCATAAGGCCTGTGTGTAACAAATCCCTTAGGCCAAATCACCAGTTGAGACGTAGCAATTAAAATAACTCTGGCCTTTCGAGCCATAAAACTCTGGACCTAACTTGATGACGTCAATTGAAATATTTTTCAAACTCAGTAATTTCTGAACCAAATTGTGATTATTCCAGGCGTTTGGCAACATTGCATGACCAACTATCGAGTGCCTGGAATCAATTAAAAATGAATTTTGCAAAATTATGACGTCACTGGAAGACCCATTAGAAAATGCACTTTGTACAAGGTTGTCTAGTGGAAGGTAGCTTGATGACGTCAATTGAAATGTTTTTGAGACTCAGTAATTTCTGAACCAAATTGTGATTATTCCAGGCGTTTGGCAACATTGCATCACCAACTATCGAGTGCCAGGAATCGATTAAAAATGGATTTTGCAAAATTATGACGTCACTGGAAGACCCATTAGAAAATGCACTTTGTACAAGGTTGTCTAGTGGAAGGTAGCTTGATAACGTCAATTGAAATGTTTTTGAGACTCAGTAATTTCTGAACCAAATTGTGATTATTCCAGACGTTTGGCAACATTGCATCACCAACTATCGAGTGCCAGGAATCGATTAAAAATGGATTTTGCAAAATTATGACGTCACTGGAAGACCCATTAGAAAATGCCCTTTGTACAAGGTTGTCTAGTAAAAAGTAACTTGATGACGTCAATTGGGTGCAATTGAAATGTTTTCAAGACTCAGTAATTTCTGAACCAAATTGTTATTATTCCAGACGTTTGGCAACAATGTATGACCAATTATGATTGAAAACCATCGAGTACCTGGAATCGATTAAAAATGGATTTGGATCTGGATGCTTAAACAAAATACAAATCTCCAATAAATCTTCCTGATGACGTCATCTGTTTACCATTACCAATTCAAAGTAGGCCTTGTTTTCTTTCAAGAATAATACACACAACTACTACAAAATATTCTATCTTCATAAGGCCTATGTGTAACAAATCCCTCCTTATTTCCCTTTGCCAAACAACCAGTTGTGACGTAAACAACATGGCGTTTCTCGCCTTGACGTAGGCTGATAAAACAGCTGACAACTTAGTTATGACGTCAGCAATGGTTAAAAAACCAATATGGCGGCGATTACCCAAAAACGAGGCCGATAAGCACTCCTTAGAGTCTGTATTTTCCTTGATTTTTGTTGATTGCGTTAGTGATTATAATACGTAAGACAAAGAAAACAATAAAATAAGACACAGTTGCCATAACGGCAAACGCAATTATAAATAATCAAGACAAAGAAAGAGATAGAATAGGATAAAATTGTGACAGGGAAAAAGACGGAAATTCAAAGCGCCGTGCCTAAAACCACCTTTTTCCGATTAAAAAAAGCCTAGGAAAAGCGAAAAACCAACAAAAAATGACATTCCAAAGCCTACTTGGTAACTTGGAAATTTGGAAATTTTTAGCAAAAAATGAAGGAAACTTTGAATTGGTTTTTCTGATTGAAAATGTGAAAAATTCGAGAAAAACTTGGACAAAAACCACTCAAAATGGCCAACTGTCAAAAAAGGCAAATGACGTTACATTACAAGGCCTACTTAATTAAAAGCGACATTGCCACAATTACAATCTTGTATATTATATTTTTCCAAATTCAAGTGAGTAAGACAAAGAAGGAGATAAGGTAGGAAACAATTTCGCAAATACGATTTTGAATGAGTAAGACAAAGTACGCAATTTTTGGTTTTAAAATTGAAAATGCCAAATGTCAAAAAATTTCAGCCATTTTTTAAACTGTCAAAGAAAACAAGGCCTACGTTTTTTTTGAAAAATTTTAACGGACGTCACTGGTGAGGACGCTGCGTCGCCTAGGCAACGGCGTCCGACGTCGTGGCGGCGTCTTTTCCGACGCCCCACGAGCGCAATCGATAAACGACAATTTTTTTGAAACAATGACGTAAAGTGACATTTCAGTGCGGTAAAGTGCCACTTTCCGCACTCTAAAAACCTATATAAATAATTTAAAAAAAAACAAAAACAAAACTTACAAGTCCATTATTATTGCGTTCTTCTTTTTTTTTTGTTTGTTACTTTACAACACTAGTGCAAGAAAATATTTTGCCCCTTTTTTCAGAGGGTGTGTAACCGAACACCGCAAAGTCTCACTGGGAAATGACCTAAACTCGATCACATGCCAGGGTCGAACGGATTTTCCCCCAAGTTTCAAAGAGGGACGAAAAACCAGGGGTGGGGATGCGAACCGGGCCACTATTGGTCCGCTGAAATGTCGGCGCCAGTTTGGCGCGACGCTCAAAAACAAATTCCGAAAGGGCGGAAGACAATGGGAGGGAGAAAAAACGACGCCGCATTTACGAGGAAAATTATAATGACAGATGTCATTATAATTCAAAAATTACATAAAAATTATTATTAGTAGGCCTTGTAAATTTGACATATTAAAAACAAAAAAAAATCGAGTAAGCCTTATTGGAAATATGGCGGCAAATTTGAAAATGTTTTTCTCGAGATAATAGATAATCGGGGCGCCGGAAAATCCCTTTAGGGATGTTGGGGGGGGGGGGGGGGGGGTGGCTTGGTGCCGCCAGTCAGACGGGCCTTTCTGCCGCCACCGAGATGCTGTTTTGTGCAGATACAAAAATACAAAAGAGATAAATTTCCCTGGGAAAAAGGAAAATTA